CGCTGGCAACACGCATGCATACACATGCGTCTGCACCGTTCAGGGGGAAGGGGGGGGGGGGCGGGGGGCGTGCCCGCTCCCTGTGCTCGCGCGGCGCCAATGCATCCCCGTCCTTGTCCCTCCTGCCGTCATGCGCCAGCGCGAATACACACACCCTCTCGAGTCTGCTATTGTAGCACGGTCCGATCACGCGGGAGTCGCGTGCCACCGTAACCGTCGGGCTCGATTTCAAACTCTCCCCTCCGGATCTCCGTGGTCAGCTCGCTGGGTGGGCCTGGGGGGGTGGCGCGTAATGCACCCGCCCGTGGGTCCCCGCCCCCGGGCGCTGTGAAGGGCCGGCTGGCTGGTGGTCGCGGGGGGCGATGCCTCCTCGCCCTGGGCATCTATCCCCTTCTCCCCTCTCTCCATCCCCCTCCCCCCCCCCCTCCTGCGCCCTCCTTTCTTCGACTGCTCGCTCTTGCCTGCCCCTTGCCGCGGTTCCCTCCCACCTCCCTGGACGCATATCCCCACGATGACGGACTTCGTCAGCTCCTCGGTCGCCCTCCCCGGGGCGTCCTCCATGCCCTGGGTCGAGAAGTAGTGCGTACATGCACACACGTGCTTGCCTCCGGGCTTGCACTCGTCTTCGCGCGAGCCACCGCCTGCTAATTGTCGCCCCTCCCCCGCTTGCCTCGTCCCCCGGCCTTGTCCCTGGTCCGTAGCCGCCCCCGGTCGATCAATGACGTTGCCCAGCAGGAGCAGGTTGTCAAGGTCCTGCGCCGGTCCCTGGTGTCGGAGAACGTATGTCCCCCCCTCGAGGGGCGGGGGAGAGGGGGCTGCCCCGCTCCTCCGCTGCTGCCATCCCGCCTGCCCTCTGTTTCTCTCTCTCTCTCTCTCTCTCGCTCGCCTCCCGCTCCGCTCGCTCACCATGACCCTTGCCCCAGCTGCCGCACCTGCTCTTCTACGGTCCCCCTGGCACCGGTAAGACCTCCACCATCCTGGCCCTGGCGCGTGATCTCTACGGGTACGCTCCCCGCTTGCCTCTCGCCGTCTCTCTCCCCACATGGGCTGACCCCGTTTGCCGGGCATGCTGCCGGGCCTGGGCGTGGGCTGCGCGACGCCAGGCCGCTCTTCCGCCAGCGCGTGCTCGAGCTCAACGCCTCGGATGAGCGCGGCATCCGTGTCATCCGCGAAAAGGTCCAGGTCTTCGCGTCGACGTACGTGTCGGCCGGGGCCACGGTGCCCGGCGCCGAGGAGGACATGGACACCGACGAGCCTGGACGCGCTGCCCGGCGGGTGCCGCCCTTCAAGCTCATCATCCTGGACGAGGCGGACTCCATGACGGCCGACGCGCAGGCCGCCCTGCGCCGTGTGATCGAGGTGAATGCCCGCACGACGCGCTTCTGCCTGGTGTGCAACTATGTGAGCCGGTGCGTGGGAGTCCCGGTCTTGGTGTGCGCCTTTCCCTCTCCTCCCCTCCCGGGGCTCTGACGCTCCGTGTGTCCCTGCCTCTGCCTGGCCTGGGTTTGCTTGCCTCCTCTCTCTCTCTCTCTCCTCCCCCCTCCCCCCCCCC